AGGAGTTCAAAAGTTACTATAACAGATCTAATTTTAACAGTTGTTCCTTTATTATTAATCAATGTGCAACAACACTTGTGCATATTTTTGTCATCAGTTTTTTCATCGAACTTAAATATTTATTAGATAGCCAAGACTCTTGTCCTATTGATTTTAATATCCAACTTTAAGGAAATACATACACATTTTAAAGCATATTTATTTAGACTACAAAATTTTAATTAAAATTTTTTAACACGTATTTAACAGAAATTTGAAGGTGCTGACAAGTAGAAAAACAAACCTCTTAAGAAAGACTACAGTTAACAGCTAAGATCAGTCATTCACTCACCTGCTTTCCACCTGTGACCACCTGGACACACCTGGAAAAAAGCAGCAGCAGCAAATTCCCCCAGTAGTTTCCAAACCCACTTTTTTTTTTTTTTTCCCTCCTCCCATTTCACAGACTTTACACAGAATCCACATCGGGCCTCTAATTTAAAGCCCTGATAGGTTCAGAACAAACATAAGAAAACAGCTCTTTGCACCTTAAGTAGTTCTGGATTTTTTTTTCCCCCAAATGATATTGTGAATCATAAAGTAAAGGTTACTGTAGAAAAATCTATCTCCCACCTGTTTCATTAGGTACTCCTTTGTTCTTCAAAGGGAGAAGCAGCCAGGTTATTCTGTATATGTAATCATCCATTGATAGACTAAAAATTTAATTCTCAGTTCTAAAGACATGTATAGTTTGAAAAAAGTTCATACTCTTAAGTGGTTCACTTGCTTAAAAAAGAAAAGATAGAGTTTTGTCTATTAAAAAACATTTTTAAAACATTTGCTAGATTACAGTATAGTTATCATGACAACTTAAATAAAACACTAATACATTCAAGAATCACTACAAGACAGGAAATTAGAGGTCAAAAACACAAGAGTCAAATTTAACTCTTACCTGAGATTCATTTTCCCTCTTAACATGTTTTGTTTTATTTTTGTGAAGGGATCCCTGGTGAGCTTGTCTACTATTTTCAATTAGCCATCCAGAACCTAAGCAACAATAAATTGGAATCCATGGCAGACATGCACACAAAAATTAACAAAGGTTTTCCAACCTACAGCAAAGTCTACTAATATTATACAAGAGGCTTATGGCTACAAGCAATCTTAAACAATCTGTAAATACATATAAGCAAGAGGAGATCTGTTTACTGTTTTTGTTCATTTTAATACCACGCAAGGTTGGTTTTGAAGGCTACAAATGACAAATAAATGATTTGAACTTGCAACAATATTATGCTCTAAGTACAAGGCCCCTCAGTAAGCCCCAGTTCCTGGCTCATTAAGCCACAGTAACCAGCCTCACCTGGGCTTCCACCCATGGGCCCAGAATTTCAAGTTAAGGCCAGGCCCAGATGCTCAGCCCAAGTGCCTGACCCAAGTTTTTACCTCTGTTCTGCCTTGTTTCCTGGATAGGCTTTGGACATACATTCTAGACTTATTTCTAGCTTTGACTCTGTCACCATCTTCCATGGGATTATGTTGGGAACAGTGTAAAGTTCTCTGGACCAGATCCACCACTTTTAAGACTGATAGTGAAACTTGTTATCTACACCCCTACCCTAACCATACTGTTGAAGTACTGTGGCAATGTTCTACTCGTGCTGTGGTTACCTAGTCCTCTGCAATATCAGTGAAATCATAGAACTTGGACCTATTCCACAAGCTTCATTCTGAAAACTGAGGAGCACATTCAGCTATACACAAAATTTCATAGTAGAATCATGAATGGGGGAGAAGGCAACTAAAAATTGATATAAGTTTCCAAATTTGGGGAAGAATTAAAAAAAAAAAAAAAAACTAACTAACAGTGCATCAGACTATTGTATCTCAGAGGTTATGGAGGGAGAACAGAATTCATTTAAATTCCTAAAAAGTAAGACTTCAGAAGACAGCTGACTGGAACTACAATACATATTGTCTCCATGGAATAGTTCATCTAATTTTTCCTCATGAAAAAAATACCTATCCTTGCTTCAGTTATTGAGTTACAACATCCTCAATTGCTAAACATTTTATTTAGATATGATGAAATAAAAAAATCTTTAAATAAAGCATGTTAGAGAAAAGAATTAAGTATTCACTAAGTTATTACTTATAGGGGCTTTTCTTTCCTCCATACCATGTTCTTTTCCCTACTTTCACTCCCCTTTATATTGAAGGGATGAATTAAGAGAGCCACAAAGTCCACATCCTGTGAGAGGGAAAAAAGAGTTTTCAGAGAAAACATAACTGGAATGTCACAATTTAAACGAAGATTCAACACTGAGTAACTAGTAATAGAAAAACAGAATGCTGTTTTATCTCAGAGATACATATTTTTGAATTTTGCTATGAGCAATACTTGCATAAGGATAAAACTATTAATTTATTTACTACTTACATTCACGGGGCAGAAGCTAGGATTCCCTGAATCCCCTCAGGTCACTAGAGTCGCCACAGACAGGCTACAGAGGAGCGGGTGGCGGCTACAACGGAGGAGGAGGAGAGCCGCTGCCCCGCGCTTCAGAAAAGACAGCGAACACGCAAAACAAAACATCCCTAAGAGGAAAGAAAAGCCCTGGAGCTTAAATTGAACGCGGAGGGCGGCGAGCTCGGCGCTGCGCTGCCCAAACCGAGAGGGGCTCCGCCGCGGTCCGAGTCTCACCTTCGCCGCCCCAGGTGAGGCGCGAGGCTGCGGCGACACCGCCTCAGCTCGTGACGGGCGCGGGAGGGGCGGGCGGGAGC